CATTTTGCTCCAACTAGCTTCCAACCATGTGGAGTTCTCCACATTTCTGATTCAGAGTCTTTCCCTATAGCTGGACCTGCTCCCCAGGCTAGCACTCAGTGGTTAAGTCTCTGACCATTGCTGTGGGTTCCCAGAGACCAGATAATGCAGGGAACTTTGACTCCCAAAGAATCAAGAATCCTTTCAAAATGACTTCCAGCCTCTGCACTGTTACCAAAAAGAGAGAGCTTTCCTGGTGCCTATATGCCGTGCAGACTCCAGGACCCCTATTTGGATGGACTGCAAGTCTCGTTATGGAGTCCAATGTTAGTTTTGTTTTCTAAGCCTCTTCTCCTCCCTCTGCCATGCTGCTTCTGCCAAGTCTACTCCCTGAAGCTTTCTCTCTCCCTGTTCCATCCTCAAAAATTTTGTTTTTCTTTTTTTTTTTTTAATAAGACTCTGTTTGCAACTGAAACTACACTGTATGTTTTCTAAGGCTCTCTTTCACCTAGTCTCTACCCTCTGCCCTGCATTTGTGCGAGCATGCTACGTATTAGGCACTCCACCCACTGGAGCAGACTCTTCCTGTTCCACTTACCAGCTTTTTCTTTTTGTGTTGCTGTTATTGCTGGTTCTTCAGTACCTTCCCACCATTGCACACCTCAAAAGGTAGCTGCTCTCCAGCTGCTCAGTCTATTTCTAATATGCTAGTAATCAGTGAGTAGCTCTAGTCTATCATCTTCCGCATGACTTTTTTTTTTTTTTTTTTGAGACTTTATTCCTGTGTAGCCTATTCTGGCTGGTCTAAAACTCACTATGTAACCCAGGCTGTTCTCAAACTCATACTCCTTCTGCCTCAGTCTCCCAAGTGCTAAAATTATAGGTGTGTGCCACCACAACCAGCAAGTGTTCCTCATATATTTTGGATATGAGTTATTTGTCAGATGTATGCATATTGTGAATATTTTATCCTAGTCTGTGGTTTGCTTTTTAATTTTCTTAAAAGGCATCTTTTGAATAAATCTTTATAAGGATTATCAACTTTTTTCTGTTATACTTCTAAGAGTTTTCTATCTTTTGCTCTTACATTGAGGTTTATGAGCCATTTCAGATTAATTCTTGAGTATAGTATGAGACTAAGGAGCATGTGAATATGTGGTTGAAGCTACATCATTTCTTAAAATACTTTCCCTGTTGTATGCTTTAAAAATCAAAATAGGTAGGGATTCCTTTATTCTGTTCTAATATTTAATTTTATCCTCTATGCACTCTCACTTTCTTGTTTCTTAAGCACATCAGGTTTGAAGTTAAATCGTGTAAGTTCTTCAACTTTGTTCTTTTAAAAGTTGCTTTCAGTATTCTCAGTCATTTCAATTTCTTTATTATTTTTGTAGTTAGCTTCCTTACTTTTAAAAAAGTTCTTGTGGAATGTTGATTGGAACTGCATTGAATCTATAGATAAATTTGTGAAGAATGATTATCTTAATGACAATGAGATGGATCCATGAACATTGAAGAAATTCCCTTCTATTCAAAGCTTACTGAAAATTTTTCAGCAAGAGTGGATCTTCAATTTTGACAAGTGTTTTTTCTGCTCACATTAAGATAGTCATGTAGTTTTCCTATTTTATTCTGTTAATATGGCAGATTATACTAACTAGATTTGAATTGTAAACCAACTTCGAATTCCTGAGATAATTCTTAATGGTTGTGATTAATTTTCCATTTTACATATCATTAGATTCTATTTGCCAATTTTTTTAATATGTTTGTGTCTATATTCATGAGGGTTGTTAGTCTTGTAATTTTCACTTTTTTATATCTTTGATGTTAATATACTGATCTTATAAAACAACTTGAAAAGTATTGCCATCTCTGCATTCTGAAATGGTTGTATAATTTTTATGCTATTCTTTCTTTAGTAGCATTCAGAAGTGAAACCATCTGGACCTAGGGTTCCTTGGTGAGAAAGTTGGTATTTCAGGGTTTTTTTGCCCAGGTTTGCCCTCAAATCATAATGCTCCCCATCTCCACCTCCCATGTAGCTAGGATTATAGGAACAATGCCCTAGCCCCCTTCTTTCATTTCTAATGTTGGTAACTTGAGTTCTCTCTTTCATCTCTGTTCAGTCTAGCTACAGTTTCACTTACCCCCCACCATCAGGGTTGGGGATCATAACTAATTTTTTTTTTTTTTACCTTTAGGAAGCTGTCCTTTCCACTTCATTGATTTCTGCTCTCATCTTCATTGTTTCCTTGCTTATACTACTTTTGAACCTTAGGTTATTATTTTTGATCAGTTAGATCAAAGTGGTTATAATTTTTGTTCGTAGTCTGTCTTTATTGATTTATTTTCTGTAATTGCTAATATAGAAGCATTAAAATCTGCTATTATTGTTCTAGAATTATGTACTTATCTCTTTAATCCTGTCAGTTTTTCAATTTATTTACTGAAGCCCCTTTATTAGTAACAGACATGTTAGAAACTGTGGTGGTTCTAGAAGTTTGCCATATTTGACAGCTAACAAGTGTGCTTGCCACAGTTTCATGGAGGCTAGCAAATGACATGAGATTCCTGGGTCAAAGACAAAGGACAGTTTATTACTTTTTCACATTTATTTCTGACAGAATATGACCAGTTTTTATGCTCTTTCCCTAAGACTAATCCTCACTGAACAACCACATGAGGTTTCAATGGTACAGAAAATATTCTGTGCTGTAGTGTTTTGTGTATGGTCCCCACTGCATTTTCAGGACTTTTTTGCTTTGTTTTGGTTTTGCTTTTTTTAATTAAATGATGCTCATGCCTGAGTTCTTATCTTCTTTAGTTTCTGTAATTACATTACACCCTCTTTTTGGATATTTCATAGTCAAAAGTATACACGTAGAAATGTTCTTTTCCACTATTTATGAGTCTGTTAAATCTTTAAAACTGCCATTTCTAGTTATGCCAGCAATACGAATGCTTTTTCTAATTTTGGAAGTGGAGGGAGTCTATATTTTTGAGATGATTACTTTCCAGTGCTCTTCATTTGTTTCTGAAGATTCAGTTTTTTATATTGTTTTTTCTCAACCTTAAGGCCTTCCTTTGCCATTTTCTATAATATAGAAAACCAATTTTTTTGTGTTCTTTTATCTAGAAATAAGTTTATTTTTCCTTCATTATTGAAAGTTGTTTTCAGTAGGAATAGTACTCTGGGTTAACTTGTTTTTATTCTTTCTAGTTTCTGTTCTACACTGTTTTGATTTGACAGCGATTGTTAAATTGTCAGTCCCTGTCCACAGCCTAGCCACTTTCAAGACTTTTTTTTTTTTTTTGGTGCTGGGGTTTGACCTCAGGGCCATGCTGTTGGCTAGGCCAGCACTGTACCACTTAATTCATGACTGCTAGCTTTTTTCTTTTGCTCTGTTTGTTTTTCAGATAGTCTCATATTTTTGACCAGACCCAGCCTTGGCCCGTACTTCTGTCCCCAGTAGCCACCCACAGAACTGGGATTATAGGGCTGAACTGCCACACTAGTCTAAGATTCTCTTTCACTTTGAATTTCAGTCGTTGGACTGACTAAGCATGGTTTTCTCTGTTTTTATCCTGTTGAAGACTCATTGAGCTTCTTGATTGTATAAATTTGTTTACCAGTTTGGGGCACTTTGGGGCCTTTACTTCTTCAAATATTTTTATTTATTTATTTATTTATTTATTTTGGCACAACTGGGGCTTGAACTCAGGGCCTACACCTTGAGCCACTCCACCAGCCCATTTGTTTTGTGATGGGTTTTTTCAAGATAGGGTCTTGAGAACTATTTGCCCAGGTTGGCTTCAAACCGCAACCCTCCTGATCTCTGCCTCCTGAGTAGCTAGGATTACAGGCATGAGCCACCAGCACCCAGCTTCTTTTTTTTTCTGTCCCATTTTCTCTTTCTTTTCCTTCTGGAATTATAATTATACATATGATAGACTTCTTGATGTGGTTCCAGTAGAGTGATCTTTTCATGTAAACTGTATCATTTTACCTTCCTACATAAAATAGCTTCCCTTTAAAAGTAAATTACTGTTATATTTCCTTGCAGGCCTTGTGATCTATCCATAACTGTATTTGTGACCTCAATTCCTGCCTCTATTCTCTTTTCAGTTTGCTTTAACCACAATGGGTTTTCTCTTTTCTTCCCTGGAAACAAGCCAGTTATTTTTGTCTTGGCACTTAATGTTCCCTTTATCTTGAAAATTATTCCTACATATCTTTGTATGACTAACTCCTTTCTAAATCTGCATAAGTCACCTCCTCAGAGAGACTTTTTTTACTACTACCCCAGCTAAAAGTTGCCCCATCTTCTCAGAACACATACTCCCTACCACACACACACTTAGACCAATATCTCTTTTACAGCTTTACTGGAATATGAGAGACATACCATAAAATTCACTCATTTAAAATATTTTACCTACTGGTTTTTCATATATTCATGGGTACCTGTCACCATAGTCATTTTCAAACATACCTGTTTTAATCATGCTTTTTCCTAATTCCAAAAATGTCTGGTGAGTAACATAGACTTAGCAAATTTTCCTGAATAAATAAGTTCATTAATTCTAAGTAATTTAGGCATTTGCCTCCAGTAAATTATTAGAGAAGTTCAGTTGACTAAATCTGATATTCCTTTATCAGAACTGTGCTATTTCAAGGGCTTTCTGAAACAGCTGACAGCTTACCCCACTTTTTAAGAGTTATTGCAGGAAGTTACCAAAAACACCTTTGGATATACTGAATGCCAGTCATATGTACATTTCCCACCTTACTGTTGCTCAGGAATAGAAACCCTCCCAGGAACATTGATTTGTATTTTCAAAAATATTCTATGCAGAGTGTCTTTGAGACAGATTACACAATGTCTAATGCTTGTTTTATTTACTAATTGTGGTTAATAGTGAGTTATGCCTGAGATATTGAGCACCGTCTTTCTCTGGGTGCCTTTGATATTGAATGTCAGTTCTGAGCCTAGTTAATCCTTGTTCCATCTTCATAGGCTTTGATGCGGCCTGGAAGAATTGATAGAATCATCTACATGCCTTTACCAGATGCAGCTACAAGAAGGGAAATATTAAAACTGCAGTTTCACTCTATGCCAATCAGTAATGAGGTTGACCTGAATGAGCTCGTCCTCCAAACTGATAAATATTCTGGAGCAGAGGTAAGGTAGCTCCCTTCAAAATACCTTAGTGGATGGGATGTAGCTCAAAGCATGCTTAGCAAAACAAGGTCCTGCATTCGATCTCTATCTTTTTTTCAGGAAGAAAAAAAAAACCTGTGGCGAGTGAAGGGGACATAGTTTGGAGTTAGCAAGCAAGAGAAACTGCTTGCTAACAACTGTTTTAAATAACTGCATACTAAGAAATGTTAAAACAGGAGATCACTAAGTTAAATTTGCACTTTACTTGGCCTCTATTGTATCTCAGTTGTTTTTTACCTGTGATTATTTCCCAAAATACAGTCTTGAGAGAGTACCATGGATTTGAAGTTACTCTCTGTTAGACTCTTGAATCAACAGTTTCCAACCAGTCACATACCACAGTGAACTTTAATTGTTTTCATCTGTCAAATGGGAACGCCAGCACAACTTTCTCTGCTGTCTGCTCATGGAGATCATAAAAAAGTGAAATTATGATATCATCAGTGTAAAGGATTTTGCAAAGAAATTGTATTATTATCTTTTATCATTTTGGAAAATTATCTCAATCTACTTATATGTCAGTGATGTTTCTCACAAAACAGTAAAGAGACCCTGTGCCTTTTAACTGTGAGTGTTACCAGTGCTGTTGTCGTCTGATCAGAAGATCATGGTTTTGGTACTCCAAATGGAAAAATCCAAGCAGAGCACAAGGATAGGGTGAGGTAGGATAGCCTTATTGAGAGAAGGGGAGTCACCTGTTCTGTCAGGTGAGGAAAGGGAAGAAGAAGAAAAGAGCATGTGGACACAGGTGGAGTCCACCAGCAGAGAGAGCGTGCTTTTCTTTCTCAGGTGCCTTTAAAACCTACACTACCCATGGGAGGGCAGGCTCAGGAGGTTCCCACCCAATAATGAGCGAGTGGCATGGGCACCTCCCAGCCAGGTGAGGGTGGTTTGGCCCATCTCTAGTCAACCTACATGATTAAACAGAAGGCCTTGACCAAACACATGAGTTTGCCTTTTGCTGAAAGACTAGAAGGCCTAAATATTAAAGCACATGCGTAAGAGCTGCCTTTTTAATCTCTTAGCTTTGGTTACTTTTAGAGGTCTGGCATAATTGACTCCATCTGGATCTGGAGAAGTCCCCTCATTTGTGCAGTCCTTTTGAACTGTCTCAAGTTGGCTGAATGCCCCTTGTTCCTCTGAGAAGTTGGGGGATGCTGACCATTCGAGGATCGCATCTTCTTAAACTGTTTCTCTGAACAGTTGTATCTGAAGATTTTGCCAATTTGGCAGTTCTGTCCCTCTGTGCCAGAGTGCTCCCCGGGAAAGTCCAGAAATTCAGATTCTGTCCCATGGAGGAGGGAGATTAGAACAGATCAGAAGTCAGGGACAATGAGACCTTTTTGGCCAAATTAAACTACAAAGAGATTTATTAAAAAGTGGCTCTTAGGTTGGGCTTAATTAGTCTAATTGCTTGTCCCATAGGAATGTACTGACACCTTTAAATTGTTGTAAAGTGTTAATAGGTAACAATTACAAAGTTTTACAAGGAAAATACAAAACAACACCAATACTTAAGAATGTCTGTCCTGATTGATGGATAAGCACTTGTCAGAGTCATTTCTGTATGGGCTTGCCTGTGAATGTTTTTGAAGGATCATAACTGTAATGACAAAACTCAAAGCAACCATGGTTAATTGTAATTTAAACCTTGAATTTTGGTTAGGTAAAATAACAAGTTGGTGATTATCAGCACTGTCAATACAGTACTGACAGTTAAAATCCCTATATTTTTCAATGGTTAAGGAAGGCAGTGTTAGTAATTCTAAATAGCCCCTGTTTTGATGTTCAGTTATATATTATATATAAGACAATGTTTATCTAGTCAATGTCAGATAAACCAATGTTCATCTGATGAACAGATGTCAGATAAACTAATGTTATCTGACAAATAGATGTCAGGCCTACATGATAGAACTTCTGGCTTTTGTCATAAAAAGCAGAAATGTCAAAGACCTTATTAGAAGGTATCTTCGATGAAAGAACTATAGCTGCTTGTATGTATATACTTTTAACTCTATAAACAATTTTATGACATTTAGATACATGTATAAGGCACTAGGGGTATTAGAACCATTTAAGGAATTTTATTTAGTTTAAACTTAGTTTTTTTAGTGTTATTGGAAAAATACCTTAGGTTTCTGTGTTTGGCATGAGACTAATTTAAGCAGTATGTAAAAAATAGGAAATGATCTTAAATGGGCTATGAAGAGAACTAGTCATCTTGTTTTGGTTAGCAGGATCAAAGCATCTCCCAACACTTAAGGATACAGCCAAATGAGTATATTGGCTATCCCTATGCTGGCTGGTGTAAAGAAGGAGAGGGAAAGGGAAGTGGATAGTTGCCCTTTCAGGGAGAGAAATACAAGAACTTCTAGATTCTCAAAGCATCCTTCTTAAATCTTCTGAAAGCCTCAACACAAGCCCTTCAACCTCTTTCTATCACATCTCTGTGGAGCAAGTGAGTGGCAGGATACCCTGGCTTCTGAGTCATCCATTCCCCTAAGGGCCAGCCTCATCCACCCCAGCATGAGGGTTCTTTGATGGGATGTTAATCCTGAATGTTGACTCAACTGTTAAAACCTCAGAGCTAACATGACCAGTAACGAATCCAAATTGTACTAAAGTAAGCTTAGCTGATACAAACCCATCACTTGTGGTTAGTTTTTATATCAGGCCATTGGGTTGTAGTCAGTTTGTAAATGAGAAAAATGGGAGAACATGTATAATTTTTAATAATAAACCAATTAGATTAATGTCTGAAATAATTAGATACAGAAACAGCGATAAGGGAGTGTAACCTTGGTGTGTTTCTGTGACCCCTGTAGGCTATTGGGGGTAAGGTAAGCATGGGTGAAAATTTAGATTGGGTGGCTAGGGTAGATAGGCATGGCAAGTAGGTGGGTGAAAGAGTAGGTTAGAGGAGGGAGACAGAGAAGGTTGCAGATAGGAAGAAGGCAGGTTGGTTAGGCATGGGACCTTGATCACCAGAGGTGCTGCTTCATCCACCTTGTCCCTGGTTCCCTGAGCTCCGCTGGCCTCCCCACTGCCAGTGGAGCTGCCATGCCTCTGCATTTCCTCTCTCAGCCAGTTTAGGCACTGAGAGCCTTTCAGCTGGAGGCTGCTGTCCCATTCACCACCCCAAGCATACACACAGGTCCCTGTGCTTTACCACCATACTCCATGGCTGGCTAAGCGAGGCTTCCAGCCCACACTGAGAAGTGGGGTGGGCCTGTGCCACAGGGAAGGCCTGAGGGGAGGGATTGGAGGATGGCACCCTGTGGCTACAGGCCCAGAGTCCCTGCCTAATGGTGCTGGGCGGTTGGGGTGGGGGATCCATACCAGCGTCGGTAGGTGTTTTGGGGGTTCCTGAGCCAGTGGTGGCCTGCTCCAGCCCTCCAGAGGCATGGCCTCCAGGGGTGGGACTTCCATTCACCCCCAAGAGGCATATTGAGAAATTTCATGAGTGGCCAGCCAGGAAGCCGCACAGCTGTGCCACGCTGCATGTGCCTGCCCCAAGGGGTGTCCAGGAAGCCGTGTGTACACACTCATCCCTAGGTGCCTCTACTGCTGTTGTTTCCTGACAGGTGTAAAACCTATAGTTTTATGTCCCCTCCTCCCCCCACCCAACCCCCACAACTGCAAGGCACACACAAGCCTCCCACTCCGCAGGCAGCAGTTTATTTGCTCCCTGTCTTCTGCATGGCTCCCTGCCCCCCCTTTTTTTTTTTTTTTTTTTTTTGAGCAACCATGCTTTGCCAGGGGAGGCTTTCATTTTTTCTTTAAAAAAAAAAAAAAAAAACTGTCACTGGATGGGCTGACCAAGGTGTGCCTCCCATTTGTTGTTTTAAAACTGCCAGTTAGGGGGAGAAAGAAGAGAAGATTAGAAAAACGGGGGCGGGGTGGAGAAGCTCAGCCTTAGCCAAAAGGCAGAGGGTGTTTCTAATTGTCTAGGCCATGTGATAGGTTAGAGACCTTGGAGTAGGGTCTCCCACAGTGCAAGGAAGGAAAGCGGTGAGGGGAGGCGGGGAGGCTAAGAAAGGTAGGGTTGGGGGAAGGGACAGCTAGCTTTTAATGTGGTCCATCTCCAGGGCAGAACCAGGGAACCTGTACATGAACCCTGTGCCTTGGGGCAATTGCAGGAGCTCGTAAATCCTGCTAATCAGGGTGCTGTCCATCTATGCCAAGCTCCAAACAAGCCCTGAGTATCAAGTGAATGCCCCAGCGTAAGGGTCCCCTACTACCCAATCCATAAGTGGTGTTTGGTTCTGAAGCATCAAGTGGTGAGGCGTGGTACTAGAGGAGAGAAAGGTGGATTAAAACAAAGATTGGTAGAGATAGCATATTGGGATCTCACTGTTCATTTTCTCCTGACTGGCTTGCCACAAAAGTTACCAGAGCTGGTGCAGTCTTTGACTAGAAGATCATGGTTTTGTGCTCCAAATGGAAAAATCCAAGCAGAGCACAAGGATGGGGGAGGGGTAGGACAGCCTTATTGAGAAAAGCAGTCACCTGTTCTGTCAGGTAAGGAAAGAGAAGAAGCAGCAGAGGGCATGGTGTGTGCAGGTGGAGTCCACCAGCAGAGAGACCGCACTTTTCTTTCTCAGGTGCCTTTAAAACCTACACTACCCCACTGGAGGGCAGGCCCAGCAGGTTCCCACCCAATAATGAACAAATGGGGAGGGGTATGGGTGGCTCCCAGCCAGGTGAGGGTGGTCTGGCCCATCCCGGGCATCCTACATGAGCCCCAAACTTCTCCTACTTCTAGTCAGCCTCATGAAGATGCACTCTTAACAAAAACTGCAAGACTCTATGTAAATATGAAAGTCACCTTGTGTATCACAGGCAAGTGCTCAACTACTGAGCTACAAACCCTACCCTCCTACATGAATTTTTTTAAGAAAATTCCAAAGCATATACCTTGATACAGAAATCATTTCTGAGTGCTGCTCACTTGAATT